GGGCGGGCGAGAGCATAGACTACTCATGGGCCGGGGAAACAGGTCACTCACCTCAACAGGGTAGGTAGAGTAGGCCTTGCACGGGTCAGCCTGGCTAGTTGTCGTCCCAGCCGCCTCGTTAACGATCCATTGTTGCTGTTCAGGCGTGCGCGGCGTGTTCCGTGCCTTGACAGCACTCAGATGCTCCTGTTGTAGCACGGGGGTGAGGGATGGGATAGAAAAGGTAAGGGTGGTAGCTATGTGGGTTCTATCAGGCGACCCACAAACGAGAATGTATTTGAATGCGTGCAGATGGCATGTGACCTCATCTTTGCAGCATAGCAGATGCTGCACGGCATCCGCGATCCATGCGAGAGTGTGCAACTGATCTTGCCGCTCTCGGGGTAGTCGCACACCCAGGCGTACAGCAGGGGCCGCACGGTTTGCCAATCACCGAAAGGGTCCCTGAGACGGAATCCGCTGCAAGGAACAGGTAGAGGGGCAACAGGAATTCGGGTTACGGCTTTTAGGGAGGAACGACGAGGGGCAAAGGGCCATGCTACATACAGAGAGGGTTTGCATACCATGCAGGTGGTGAGATGATGTCTTAGCAAGATGCAAACCGAGTACGGACCTGGCGATGCCATCAAGAAGCGGCTGCAGCACGGTGATGACGCAACGCTGGAAGAGCATCACCTTCTCCACGGCAGACATTGCAGACGGGGGGATAGGAAGGAGGGCAAGTAGTGTGTGCCCGGCTTTCCCCCATCGCTTGGCCTGGGAGATGTTGGCCAGCGTCATCATGAGCGGCCACGCCTTCTTCCGGCCGTTGATGCTCATGTGCGTCACATCTGAATATAAGATGATCCCCCCCACAACTTCGGACCAACCGAAGTGTTTCTGCAGTGCACGACAAAGCGGCAACGGACACACGGTTTAGGGCTCAAGATGCTCTTCACATATCAGTGCAGCGATGGAGGCATGAGGAAGGATTGGGTTTGGGGTGGCAACGTGGTCTTTCCTTACCTGAGCATCGTTCCACCACGTTCGTGTTTCAGGCGTGGTATAGCGACGGCTGCCTGCGTCAGGGTCCTCATCAACACGTGCCTTGAGCTTGAAGCCGGGCGCGTTGTTGGGATGTCCAAACATTTCAGCGAATGCCTGGTGTACGGTGGCGAAGGCAGGTGAGAGGAGAGGCATGGTTAGTGGCGGTGAAGGTGGGTGTACGGTTAATACAAGGATAACTACGTACATGCAAACCCTGTGTGCCTCATCATCATTTCACGGCCTTGAATGCAAAGTCGGCTTACCTGGGCTGAGTTCTGAAAGAGCAAGCGCTGTGGTGGATGACCGTCAATCTCGAAGGTCGCCACCGACCATCCGCGATTGAGCCCTGCCAAACGCTCCATCTCGAACCGCTCCAGATCCTTACAATTCCGGAGCTCCGAGATCACAAGAGGCGCAAGGCCGGGCTCTACGACTAGCTGAAGCAGGCCGTTGATGTCAACCTCGGCCATTCCCATTCCGCCATTCACGCGCCGAACAAAATGCAGCAGCTTCAACGCGAGCGGACTGAGGGGCGTGGCATTGCTCTGTCCGGAGATGATTGTTGGCAGTGCGGCATGACTCCCTTCGGGCCGGCTCTCAGGATGGTCACTCGTGTCAGCCGCAGGAGCTCCTGGTTGTGGTTGATGTTCATCTTCAGGAGGCCCCTCGTTCATGTCGTTGGGAGTTTCGTCAACGTGAGCTTCAGGCACGCGTGGAGGACCGCTCACACTGACGGCGTTGGATGCGTTAGACGCTGTAGGTGAACCGGGAGCGGCTGGAGCGTCCGACAGAATGTCGTGGACAAATAGCAGAGCGTGAAGACCGGCGGTCGGTGCAGATCGCGTCGGCCTTGCCATGGCGGATAGTCCTTGGCAAGGGGTCCGCCGTGACTTATGACCGCCATAAACTTGGGCGTTGGGGAACCATCTGCTGCAGAACTCGCAGACGACGCCTGGTAAAGAGCCCATGTGTTACGGATCCGTTGTAGAGTCGAGAAATCGCCTATGAAGCTACTAGCCGTGATGAAGCTTGTGAACGCATTAAGTACTGCGTTCAAGAAGCCTGTGACAGCTACGCGATCATCGCCAATGCGCGCACTGTGGTGGGCGGCTTGTATCACTGCACGACTGGCACTTGACATTGGCGCTAATGTTTATGACTGGCTAACGATGTCGAGCCGCGTGGTCGTTACCAGGCACGATACAGACCGCCCACCTCACGGGCCGTCTTCCCTACAAGGCGTGTCGCCCCCGTTTATAGTGACCACGATGTGAGCAGAGGAGAATGCGGAGGATCTTAAGTCTCACGGTCGTGTGTGTGCGTCGCGAGCACGGTGAGAAGGACGTGCCTATTGAATCAAGAGCTTGTGTTTAGGAACCGTGCGTGAGAGTCGAGGGGGATGAGGAAGAGCGGGAAGAGATCCGTTTGGATCTGTGATTGTGTTGCGAATCGATATAGGGGGGAAATCAGAATCACGTAGGTGAGCTCAAGAGGCTTCAAACAAACATGGAAATGCAAATGTACAATTACAACTTAACAAGACACTCAAGTCATTCATAACTAGTAAACATTCATATCCTTAGGACTGATGTTGAATAACCCTTACTTGACAACGATACGGGAAGTACCCAATAACTCCATGCCCTAACGTATGTTTGTTGCGTGGAGCAAATACCTATAGCGTGTCTTCTCTCGAGGTGTAGTGTACCTCTACGCACCGTGCTGAATGAATATGCAAGAATGGATGACAATGTCGTACAATAACACAACGGTTTCAATGTCCATGCAATGTTGGATGACAATGCAACACCATACCACAACGGATTCACCATGTCGCGCAACCCGCAGTCCTGAACGCTGCATCGTCGCACAGTCTAACCATGGCTGTCGATAACGCATCTACGCTTGTGCGTTGGGCCTGTGCTTCATACAACTCCTTCTAAGCACCTTGTTTAATGTCTGTGCAAGAATGGATGCCAATGCAACACCATACCACAACGGATTCACCATGTCGCGCAACCCGCAGGCCTGAACGCTGCATCGTCGCACAGTCTAACCATGGCTGTCGATAACGCATCTACGCGTGTGCGTTGGGCCTGTGCTTCATACAACTCCTTCTAAGCACCTTGTTTAATGTCTGTGCAAGAATGGATGCCAATGCAACACCATACCACAAGGGATTCACCATGTCGCGCAACCCGCAGGCCTGAACGCTGCATCGTCGCACAGTCTAACCATGGCTGTCGATAACGCATCTACGCGTGTGCGTTGGGCCTGTGCTTCATACAACTCCTTCTAAGCACCTTGTTTAATGTCTGTGCAAGAATGGATGCCAATGCAACACCATACCACAACGGATTCACCATGTCGCGCAACCCGCAGGCCTGAACGCTGCATCGTCGCACAGTCTAACCATGGCTGTCGATAACGCATCTACGCTTGTGCGTTGGGCCTGTGCTTCATACAACTCCTTCTAAGCACCTTGTTTAATGTCTGTGCAAGAATGGATGCCAATGCAACACCATACCACAACGGATTCACCATGTTGTGCAACCCGCAGGCCTGAACGCTGCATCGTCGCACAGTCTAACCATGGCTGTCGATAACGCATCTACGCGTGTGCGTTGGGCCTGTGCTTCATACAACTCCTTCTAAGCACCTTGTTTAATGTCTGTGCAAGAATGGATGCCAATGCAACACCATACCACAACGGATTCACCATGCCGCGCAACCCGCAGGCTTGAACGCTGCATCGTCGCACAGTCTAACCATGGCTGTCGATAACGCATCTACGCGTGTGCGTTGGGCCTGTGCTTCATACAACTCCTTCTAAGCACCTTGTTTAATGTTTGTGCAAGAATGGATGCCAATGCAACACCATACCACAACGGATTCACCATGTCGCGCAACCCGCAGTCCTGAACGCTGCATCGTCGCACAGTCTAACCATGGCTGTCGATAACGCATCTACGCGTGTGCGTTGGGCCTGTGCTTCATACAACTCCTTCTAAGCACCTTGTTTAATGTCTGTGCAAGAATGGATGCCAATCCAACACCATACCACAACGGATTCACGTTTGTTACTATTGATAATCGTGTTAGAATGTCGTCCGCTGGCCCTAAACCATTGTGGCAAAGCCTTAAAGTGCACAGTACATCTGTAACAAGTAATAATTCTGGACGGTCGTTGTGTGTGTGATGTAAGAATCACCGATTAACTTACCCCAACCCCGTGGTAAACCATTTGCAACTTAGAGTTTGATGAAATGCATTGTTGTATGTTTGAATAAAATTTAGTGATTTATGCGTTGGCAACAGTGATTGGCCGACGCATCTCAAACGATTCCCCCCGCAACACAGTCATTAGCCAAGAGGTACTTCAGCCATTGAGCGGCTGAGATCGAGCGGTAGGTGGGTTTATGCTAGGCTGGCTACACGTACACCGTCCAATATAGCCTGATAGGGTTACATTACTCTCTCTAGTCTTGCAACCCACCCCAACCACCCTCGTGTCCCACCCACCTGCTTCCGTTACTCACTGGACCAACAATTTGACGCTGCTCGTTGCCTTGACACACTTTAGCGCAAAGCATAGTGGCTACTATGACATATTTAGTTGAAGCGGCGGTTTTCGAAACCCCTTACAGTGATAGACCGTCGATAATCCCATCGTGGGATTCAGTTGCAGAACCCTTTCGAAACCGGCTCAACCCTTCCGCGCGATTTGCAACTTTGCTCCTCCTACAATTACCATGACACGTGCAACACGTAACCAAGCAATGGAGGAGGAACAGGCCGGCCGCCGCGCGACAAGGAGGACGTCTAAACAAATCGATAGGGAGTGTGGTGGCGGCGCTAAAAAAACTAATGCATCCGTCGCTCGTGGCATTGGGAAGAAGAAAGCGGCGGCAAAAAAGGTCGCGCGCGGTCAACAGGAGGCCGGCAAGAAAGCGGAAGACAATGCCCCAAAACCAATGCCACGCAAGCGTGTTTCTACAGTGAACAAAGATGCGGATGTTGCCGATGCTGGAACCGAGCCCGGTCCGAGTAAAGACGGCACCACTGGCGGCAACGAAGATCCGGGGCGAGGGAGCGCGAGTCTTGCACTCCCGTCGGCGGAGATGGAGGGATCGGCAACGGAGGGAAATCACGGAGGCGATCCCCGCGCCGAGCAGGCTGCAACCAAGGAGTCCGAGGTGGCGGCAACGCAACACCATCTGACGCTGCTCCAGCCGACCGTGGTCGAAGTTTCTGCAGCCGTGCTGGATAAGGACAAGGTGGGGGAGCACGAGTCAGTGGGGCTGGTCGGTGGCTCTCCACCTTCTGGTGGACGGGGGAGGCGTAGGCAGAGGAAGAGCGATGGGGAGGACAATTATGACACCGCCGTGCCCGGGGACCTCATTACACGGGCGAAGAGGCGGCAGACGACAGGTAGTGCTGACGACGCCGGAGGCGCGGCAGTTGGGACACCGCGAGGCGCCAAGGAAGCTAGTGGCAAGGCGGGCGGTCAAGCATTGCGCTAGAAGGGCTGACCCGCAGCAAGAAAAGCATCCGGCGGAAGGAGAGGCAAGAAAGCAGCGACGGGAACAAAGCCGAAACGGGGCGATGAAGACCCCGGTGATGCGGAGGAGGAGGAGGACGAGGAGGAGGATGCGGAGGAAGAGGAGGGTGAAGAGGAAGTGGAGGAGGATGACGTGGATGTTGGGGAGGATGAAAAAGATGAGAATGATGGCGGGGAGGACGAAGAGGAGGAGGAGGAGGAGGAGGATGAGGAGGAGGAGGAGGAGGAGGAGGAGGAGGAGGAGTAGGAGGATGAGGAGGAGGAGGAGGAGGAGGAGGAGGAGGAGGAGGAGGAGGAGGCAGAGGAGGAGGAGGAGGAGGAGGAGGAGGAGGAGGAGGAGGAGGGGGAGGAGGAGGAGGAGGAGCAGGGTGACGACGAGGAGGAGGAGGAGGAGGAGGAGGAGGAGGAGGAGGAGCAGGGTGACGACGAGGAGGAGGACGTGGAGGAGGAGGAGGAGGAGGAGGAGGAGGAGGCAGCGGAGGAGGAGGAGGAGGAGGAGGAGGAGGAGGAGGAGGAGGAGGAGGAGGAGGAGGAGGAGGAGGAGGAGGAGGAGGAGGAGGAGGATGTGGCGCCAGTGAAGGGACGGGGCGGGCGTGGCAGACGGGTGAGTGGTACAGGGAAGGAGGGGGGCCGGACTCGCCCTTCCCGAAAACGCGGGGCAGTTGACGCTGCGCGCGGCGAAGCATCGGGCAAACCGAAGGCGCGTAAGGTGAAGGTCGAAAGTGAAGGGGTTGGTAAAAAGCAAGGGAGCAAAAGGGGATGGAGGAGGAAAGGGTGGCCGCGCCAAAGGGGTTCCAGTGGGTACCAGCAAGAAAGAACCTGCCGGTAAACGTCGCAGCGTCCGCCAAAGCACCCCGCGGAAAGGTGGCAACGAGAAGGCGCAGGCTGCCCCAAAACCGAAGGGACAGCAGAAAGGTGAGCATTGTGTCCAATAAAACTGGCGTGACGTGTTGAACCATCTGCTAAACCGTGCCAAAAAACAAACTTTTTTCACATTGTTTCTCCCATGCAGGGAAGGAGAAGGTCGACGAATCTGTTAAGCAAGGTAAACCCTCTTGTCTCAAACCAGTACAACCCTGAACCCGATCTAGATTCAAACCTTTCTGAATATGCATGCATGTCTGGCCCCGCCTTGAAACCGATCGACTCTATTTTTTTTTCCGGCTCCCTCTACATCTCAGCCCCTCGCGTTACAGGCATTGGGCTGCCCGTAAGCGTGCAACGAATGCATCTATCGAAGGCTGCCGGAAGAGCGAGTGTTACACCGCTCTCCTCCAGAGCACCGAGGTACTACACGCCATGGGCCGGCCCGAGCATAGTCGCTGCGACGGCACCAGGCGCGCCAAGAGGAGAGGAATCCGAATCCCCTCCACCCGCCCCCGTAACGCAGTCCCCACTCGCCTCACCCTCGTACCAATTTCGGCAACTCCATGCTTCTCCTGTCCGGGGCAGGGCGGTCTCCCCTCTCGCCGATCCTTCGCGCGGGCATCACGCAGGCAGTTATGCCAATCCCTTCCCTGAGCTCCCCTTTTCCCGCCAGCGTGATAGTGTGAGGGCACACGGGACTGCTGCAGAAGACGTTGATCCCCTTGGCCAGAGGGGGGATTCTTCACACCCTTTTCCTCCGCTCATGGGTGCCCTAGGTGAAAGTGCGGAGCACGAGCATTTTGTTACACGGGAGGAGTTCCAGGCGCTGCGGTCTGAGATGTACGCCATGTTTGCACAGCTCGGCCTGCGTCGTGGAGTACCTGCCAGCTATGCCGGCGGGTCGGCAGCCCTGCCTATGGCTGGTACCCCGCCGCCGATGAGCGCCGTGGACAAGGCATGAGTGCTAGTGTTGTAGGAGACAAACCCATTCCCGGTATGTGGCGGGCCACATGGGGAGGGTTGGGGCTGACGTGGCAACAAGGGCGGGGTTGGGGCTGACGTGGCGGTTTCGAAGGGAACACGGGAGCGGCGCGTGACGAGGCGACGCGTATCAGGTGGGTGGGGGGTGACGTGGCATGGGGTGGGTGGGTGTGACGTGGCAAGTGGCGCGGGTTGTTGGTGGACGTGGCGGATGCGGGTTGGGTGTGACGTGGCAAAAGGTGAGGGTTGGGATATGACGTGGCGGTGTGAAAGGGTGCAAGGGAATGCCGCATGACGGCGCGAGGCATTTCAGGTGGGTGGGGGGTGACGAGGCTCTTGGTGGGGGGTGTGACGTGGCAAGTAGGGCGGGTTGTTGGCGGATGCTGGGGGGTGTGACGTGGCAGAATGTGAGGGTTGGGGCTGACGTGGCGGTTTGGAATGGTACACGGGAGCGGTGCGTGACGAGGCGACGCGTGTCAGGTGGGTGGGGGGTGACGTGGCATGGGGTGGGAGGGTGTGACGTGGCACTTGGGGCTGGTTGTTGGTGGACGTGGCGGATGCAGGAGGGTGTGACGTGGCACGTGGGGCTGGTTGGTGGACGTGGCGGACAAGGAGGGTGTGACGTGGCGGAACGTGAGGGTTGGGGATGACGTGGCGGATGCAGGTGGGTGTGACGTGGCGGAAGGTGAGGGTTGGGGATGACGTGGCGGTTAGAAATGGTACACGTGACCACTGCGCATGACGAAGCGAGGCGTGTCAGTTGGGTGGGGGGTGACGTGGCTTGTGGTAGGGGGGTGTGACGTGGCAAGTGGGCCGGGTTGTTGGTGGACGTGTCTGATGGCGCAGGGTGTGACGTGGCAATTTCAAACAGTGTTGCTAGTCACCATCCCATGGTCACGCAGCCACCCTCATAACTGCTGGTTTCTCTCTTCCATGTCGTGTTGTATACCTTACACCCCTGCGCAGAACAAAGCCTACTTAGTGTGCTCTCAGCTCATGTTTCGAAGCGTTCTCTGTCCACTTGTCTGCAGAAGGGCTCGAGGCAATGAAGCTGCTGTGGTTGCACAATGACAAGTCAACCATGGGAGTCTTCAACCACCAGCTGTCCTCAACAAGGTCAACTATCAACTCCACCCTCAGGCCAGCAGCATACACCGGCATGGGCCTTGCCGATTACAGCCATCTCGTGGATAGCCTGCCCACTGAGCTACACCCAACGACCTGGTTCGACGACGATCAACTCCTAGCCGAGTACAGAGATGGTATGTGCAGTGCAACTCGAAAACACAATATGCCCTACCATATGCCCCTTGGCAGCTACATATCACCGTGCGATGTGGCTCACCCTGACTCTCATCCCCCCATTTGATTTCTCTACACAACCCTTTCCAACCCATACCCTCCCTACCAAAAAGCAGAACAGTGGGCCCTCAACTGGAACTTTGACAAGGCCACTTGGACACCCTTCAGCAACCCCTTGTTCGCTTATGCGTTCAAACTCTCCTTCAAGAGGGGCGGGGCGGTGTTCACCAAGTTCAAGAGCCGCATGGTGGCATGGGGCCTGTTTTCGGTAAGGATGTAGATATGTGTTTGTACCCCCATGCCTCATCCCCTTAACCCCTTGCCTGTACTTCAGCTAAAACCCTAGTCGATTAGGCCTTTGCAGTTACGTAGATAGTGACGACTGCATCACCGCTTTCAGTTGCCTCATTTACCCGTAACCTACCCTCCTCATAAACCATCCACCCAACCCTACACCACATTGCAGATCGAATGGCCCCTTCTGCAGGATAAGCGTCGCAAGCGAATCAGTAGCCAGCCGGAGACGAACAGGCCAGACTACCAGGTTTGGTGCGAAAAGGTCAAACAGATGATCCATTTTGCTGTCGTGGAGCGGAGGATCCCCCACGATCCGGCTATGGGTGCGTTCATCTTTCCGTACAAGTTCCTCATCGACGACGGCGACCTTGGAGATGTCGTCCTTGCCCACCGGGCGCTTTCAAGGCCCGCCAGTGCGTAGGCTATTTGACCTGGTGCTAAGACTGCTTGTTGCTAGAATGCTGAATAATGGTTCTTGTAATCCGCAATAATAAATGCAATTTTGAAATCCTCAATATCCATAATGAACAAAAGCAGAATATAGTTCTGAATAATTTGGTCACAAATTTGCAACAAAACGGATTGCGCCCGAATGTCATCCGGAAAAGCTCGCGTGCCTAATTGAAACTTGAACCGAGCCAAACCTTGTCGCAAGATGTGTCTCGGAGCTCCTATCAAATGACTCCAACCGTCGGTCCAAATTGGCTCCGGATTTTTTTACGCGAAGACAATCGAAATCAAAATTTGTCCAAACTTGGCATAGGGTTTTTGTGATGCAGTACAGGGCGGGAGACCAAGAACTTGCTCAAGGAGCGGAACGAAGCACAGCCGCGGCCGCGCAGCGCATCCAGAACCAGCAGGGACAGCACCAGTACCCCCAGCGGCAGCACCAGCGCCAGCAGCACCTCCAACACCAACAGCGCCAACTCCAGCACCCTCAAATGCACCAGCGCCAGCAGCACCTCCAGCGCCAACACCCCCAGCAGCTCCAGCTCCAGTAGCTCCAGCTCCAGCAGCACCAAATCTAGCAGGACCATCAGCTCCAGCAGCCTCAGCAGCACCCCCAAGCCCAGCAGCTCCAGTACCGCCAGTACGAGCACCTCCAGGACCAGTGGCTCCAGTAACTCCAGTGCCGACCCCAGGGTCAGCAGTAAGAGCAGCACCTCCAGCTCCAGCAGCACGGCTCCAGCGCCGGGCAAACCATTCGCGCAGCTCCTGTGGAGAGGGTAGCTCCCGCCTCGACAAAGCACCCGAAGGGGCCCCAAACTCAGCACCGCCAGAGGCCACACGAGCAGATCCAGCACCCCCATGCTCCGCACCCCCTGGCTCAGCACCCCCAGGCTCCGTACCCCCAGGCTCCGTACCCCCAGGCCCAGCACCCCCAGGCTCCTCACCCCCAGGCTCCGCAACCCCAGACTCAGCACCCCAAGGCTCAGCACCCCTAGCAGCACCAGAGTCAACAGCTACCTCGACAGGCTCGACTGCGTCTACCTGGGACATACCAGACGGGGAAGGACCCTGAGGGGGGAGGGGGTCTACCGGGGGGGGACCAGGCGCAAGGAAGAGCGGCGGCGGGGGGAGGGGCGCACTGCGGTAGGGGAAGCGACGGTAGTAAGGCACCGACTCGTCAAACGTGACGTCCTGGGAGGTCAGAACACGACGTGAGGTGGGGTGGTAAAACTGCCAACCAGGCGCGTCAGGGGGGAAGCAAAGGAAGATGCAGGGAACAGCACGGGGGGACAGCTTGTACGCAGACAAGTCGCGGACAAACGCCCGAGATCCCCAGACACGAAACGCAGACACATCGCCAACCTTCCCCGTCCACCACAAGGTGGGGGAGGTCTCTGGCAAGGAGACCTGGGGCTGAAGGTTGATCTCATGCGCTGCGTACTGAACCGCAAACGGCCACAGAAAATGGGGAGCAGCCGCATGGATCATGGACGTACGAGCAACATCCATGACCATGCCAATGCGGCGCTCAGCAATCCCATTTTGCTGTGGAGAGGCCGGAAGCGTGAAGGTCTGGCGGATGCCCTATGCACGACAGAAGGCTCCCAGAAGGGCAGACGAAAACTCCCCGCCTCTGTCAGAGTGCAGACGCAGAACAGGAAAGTCCGAGCCGAAACTCTCTCTGAGCTGGAGACAAGCTGCGCGGATCCAGTCGATCAACACCTCAGTGACGTCACCCTTGCATTGAGAGTACGACGGCTTATGCCAGCTATGCTTGCTTGCCTCTACTTTACCATGCTATTTCTAGCATAGGATAATCATATGCATGCATGAATTGCTTGATTTCCTAGGCTAGGTGCTTTCCTATATTTTATTATAGTTATAGCACCGAGCTAGGTTGCGTGCACCGAATTCTGGCTTTTCGGTTGCCACCGAATTGCCTTCTACCGAATTCGGTAAGGATCTGTTCGGGACGCTTCGCGACCCGCGGAACCTTCGCGTAACACCTGGTTACGGAGCCTTGTGTCGAGCCTATATATAGCCTCGTGTTGTACCAAGGTGGACATTCAATTCAATTCAATTCAATTCAATTTGAATCATCTTTTCTGAGCTCGATCCCAGATCCTCACAGCCGGGGCCTGGAAGGGCGGAGCCGGGGCCGCAGGGGCAGGCGTCGGGGCCAGCAGAGGCGGGGCCGGGTCAGGAAGGGCGGCGTCGGGGTCGCCGGGGTAGGCGACGGGGCCAGCCGAGGTGGCGCCGGGGCCGGGAAGGGCGGAGCCGGGGCCGGGAAGGGCGGCGCTGAGGTCGCAGAGGTAGGTGACGAGGCCACTAGGGCGGCAGATCGGGGCCGCGAGGGCGGCGCGACGCGGCCGCTAGGGCGGCGCGACGGGGTAGCGGGGCCGCGCGCCTCGGGGCGCGCGCCAGAAAGAAAATCGCCGCGCGCGGTCGCACGCCACGGGGCGTGCGACAGATCGAGTAGCAGCGGAAGCAGTAGTAGGGCCCTAGGAAGAGTTCCCACGAGGGAACCTGGTGCATAAGGGGAACACCGTGGTGTAACGCGAGTAGTCGTCAACCACCAACAGGAAGTAACGCTCGTGACCCTGGCCACAGACGCGGGCGGGGCCCCACACGTCCATGTGAAGAGTCTGAAGCGGAGTCTCTGTCCGAGGAAACTCGGAGGAGTGAGGGGCGGCGCGCTGCCGCCCCTCGATGCAGGGAACGCAGGTAGGGGCAGGCCCTGGAGGGAGGGGAGGGAGGGACCGGGGGAGATCAGAGACAAGGACACGGGAGGCCATGCCTCGGAGACGAGGCAGGGAGGGGTGACCAAGGCGGTGGTGCCAGAGGAGAGTCTGGTGGGACAGGAGACGACACGAGCAGGGAGCAGACTCAGGACCAGACCTGGACGCTGCAGCAAACACCTGACCCGACGCA